TTAAGAAGTCAGCTGACAGCTTCATGGGGACTCACTTGTAGGTAACTGTTTCTATATTTAAGATTCTTTCTTTGGTTTTATCTTTTGCCATTTTAATTATGATGTGTCTCGGTGTGAGTCTCCTTGGGTTCATCTTGATTGGGACTCTCTCTGCTTCCTGTACTTGGGTGACTTTTTCCATTAGTAGGTTAGGGAAGTTTTCAGTTTCCTTCAGAGAGACTGTCTGCTACTAGCTCCACCTGGTAACTTTATTGATATCGGAATAGGCAAGGGTAGTGTCTCATGCAATCAAAGAATGAAACTTGAGGATTAGAAAAGTTCACACAAGGGCAGGGATTTATTTTAAGCAAACATAGGCTCTCCACTCTGGGAGGGGATTCAGATGGGTTGCCACTGAAGCATTCTGCTCTTTCCTAATATCTGCTAAAGGCCTACTCTTTGTCTTCCTGTGCCACTCTCCCATTGGTTCTGGCCTTTTTGCAACATTTTACTTTGTACTTGCAAAAAAAACATCTTCATTTCAAAACATCCTGATTTTCTGCTATCTATCCTGTTTTTCTGTGGTTTCATCTAACTCCAGGATTCCTCCTTCTTTTACCCCTTACATTGTGTTTATCTAATTTTGCTTTAACTCCTTTCACTATCATATGGTTATTGTTATGTTTCATGTTGTGCCATAGTTTCCTTAAACTATCCTTCTGTTTATTAATTCTTTTTTCTTTTGGCTTTAATTGAGTGTATGTTTTTTACCTTGTCTTCCAAATTTGACCATCTTCTTCATTCAATCTGCTTTTGATTTCTTCCTGCTTATTCTTATTGTTAGATATGGTATTTTTCATTTCCTACTGCTTCTTGTTCATTGTTTCTGTTTTCTTTTTATGCTGTTAGTAGATATCACTATGTTCCTTGTTATTCTGACCAAGTTTCTTTGAGCATCGTTATAACTTTTAATTTGAAACTCTACTGTATATCTGCTAATATGCTTGCCACCAATTTAATTTAGCCGTTTTTCAGCAGATTTCTCCTTTTCTTTAATTTGGGGCTTGTTTATTATCATTTTTCATTCCCTTTGTACTTGTTCCTATTATTAGATTGAACAGCTATGCCTTCTAGTCTTCATGGAGGGATGCCTTATGTTCTGTGGGACTTGATAATGCAGTCTCTTTGATCACCTGAGGTGGATACTCTAGGAATGTCCCTTGTGTAGATTGTTTGAACTCTCCTGTTGTAAGTGGATCTTGATTGTTGTTGTTTGTCCTATTCCTGGGTGTATTTTCTCTCAGTCTGGCTACCTGTGCGTTTCAACTCTGACCAGGTTGTGTGAGCAGTTGTGCCAATGCTGACAGGACAAAACAAAACAAGAAACAAACAAAAGCATACAGAAAATGCTTACAGCAACAACATACACAATCACAAATAAAAGATTTAGGATAGAAAAAGGTGAACCAGAATAATAAAAGTAATTTGAGAATAGAAAAGGGGAAGGAAAAGTAATATGAAAGGAAAGAAGGAAGAGAAAAAATAAGAACAAAGAATAGGAAAAGGAAAACAGTATAAAAGAAAAGAGGAAAAAATTATGAAAAGGAAACAAATAAGACAAAAATAAAAAAGGGAAAACAAGAGAAAGGAGGAGAAAGAAGAAAAAGCAATAGAGCCAGAAAAGGAAAGAATAGTAAGGTATGAAAGAAATAACAAAGCAATGAAGGAGGAAAAAAAAAAAGAAAAAAGAAAAAGAAAAAAAAAGTGAAGTAGCATTCCTCTCACTAGAGTTCAGTGCCCCCTGGGAGTTTTCTTTGAATTCTGCTCTTATGTTGACTGAGGCTGTCTGTTTTATCAGTTGTTTCTGGGATTCCCTGAAGTACTTTGTGGGTTGCCACTATCAGAAGCTGTTCATATTTGGCTTTCAGCAACCTGCTCTAAGCTTCAAGCAATCCATAGTTTGTGTCTGTCTCCAGAGGGCTTGGCTGCATACAGGAGGGGCCAGTCTGCACTATAGGCCCAACTTGTTAGCAGCAAGGGACCCAGGCAAGGGTCAGTAAACATCCCAAGATTCCTTGGGCTCCACCTCTACCCTACTCCACCTGCTGGTCAACTGTTAGCCTTAGTCACTGAAAAGGCTGTTTCTGAAAGGGCTTTTGGCTGAATTAGTATAATAGTATGAGACCTCTGGGTTTCCCATGATGGGGATTGCTACACCCAAATCCAGTCACTGACACCAGCTGATACTGTCTAGGTCCATAGGTTTGGCCCCTGCTGGTGCCTTCTCTGCAGGGTCCAGATGCAGGCTGTGGCAAGAAAGATGGGGTGAGCTGTATCTCGAGGGCAGGGTATTTGCCTTTTCCCATAGCTTTGGCTGCTGGGAGGGGCTTGTGCCTCTTAGGAAAAATGAACTGATGTGATATTGGTGGTGGTGGGGGGAGACATTAGATCACAGGTTTCCAGTAGCCACTGTTTCACATCTACCCCGTTGCTTCCTATCCCAACCTTTCCTCAGTTAACTCCAGTCCAAAGCATCCTCCTTCCACCAAAGACTCAGTTGAGTGGCTGCAAATGAAAATCCTATACTCTGAGATTTTTTTTGGTGTGTGTGTTTTTTTGTTTTTTAAATGTGGCTTTATCTCTGATAGGCCATAAACCCCAAGCCTTTCACTGCTGAAATTTACGTGGGCCACTGTTCTCAGCTCTAGTGCTCTGGGTAAGGGTGTCTAGCCTAAGGTTTGGGCCTTAATCCTCTCAGGAGAACCCCTCATTCTCAGCCCCTCTTTTGACCCTGCCATTTCTTTCAGTGTCCAGATGGTTTCTGCCCTCCCTTGTTAAATGTTTCCTCATTAGTCCTTAATTGGTAATTCCAGGTGAATGTTCCCCAGTTTAGTTTTATTCCAATCTGACTCAAAGGAAGTGCAAGAAAAGTTCACCTACTCTGTTCTATCTTGAAATCCATGGCTATTATTATCTTCTTAAATTTCCCATTCTATTGATAAAAAAGATATCCAGTTTGTCAGTATTCTTTAAGAATGGAACTTACAATGGAACATAATTTATGTCGTATTGGTCAATTGAGAATGAGCATCTTATAGTACCGTATTTTCTGGCGTATAAGACGACCCCCCTAATTTTACAGTTAAAACATAGGTTTAGGCCTATATTCGCTGTATAAGACTACTCCCCACTTCCGAGGCAACACCAGTTCTTTTTTTAATAAACCGCCTCTCTGACTCTGGCCAATCTGAGCAGGCTTTTTACTAGAACACAGTGTTGTCTTATACTCCGGAAAATACGGTATGTCTTTTACTCTATAGTAGTGGCCGGTGCACGAAATTCATGCATAGTGTGTGTGTGTGTATATGTGTGTGTGTGTGTGTGTGTGTGTGTGGTGTCCCTCAGCCCGGCCTGCACCCTCTCCAAACTGGGACCCCTCGAAGGATGTCCTACTGCCAGTTTACAGGGATTGGGCCTAAACTGACAGCTGGACATCTCTCTCGCAATCTGGGACTACTGGCTCCTAACAGCTCACCTGCCTGATTGCCCCTAACCACTCTGCCTGCCAGCCTGATCACCCCCAACTGTCCCCCGTGCCAGCTTGCTTGCCCTCAACTGTCCCCCTGCTGGTCTGCTTACACCAAACTGTCCCCCCTGCTGTCCTGATTACCCCCACTGATGGCCTGCTTGCCCCCAACTAGCTCCCTTGCTGATCTGCTCATCCCAACAGCACCCAAAACCCACCACTGGTCTTATCACCCCCAATGGCTCCCTCCCTTTCCCCAGCAGCCTGATCACCCACAACCACCATCTCATCCTGGCCTGATCACCCACAACTGCCCTCCCTTCTTGATATCAATCACCTCTACCTCGGCCCCACCACCACGACTTTGTCCAGAAGAATATTTGGAAGGTCTCTTGGAAGGTCTCCCAGTCTAATTAGCGTATTACCCTTTTGTTAGTATAAATAGATGGTGCACAGAGGGGGAGTGGTTAGTTTGCTCTGGATGTCCTGGATCAGGGTGGGGGTTCCCTTGGGGTGTGGGACAGCCTGGGTAAGGGGCTGAGGGCCCTTTTCAGGCTGGCTACGCCCCCTTCAGGGTGGGAGTCCCCCCTGGGGTGCTTTACCAACCTGGGTGAGGGGCTGATGATTGTTTGCAGGCTAGCCAAGCCGGCCCCAGCGGGGACCCTCACCCCATGGGGATGTGGCCAGCCTGGGTAAGTGGCTGAGGGCCGTTTTCAGGCTGGGCTCCCCGCCGCCCTACACACACACCCAAACTCCCAGCCTCTTCTTGAGTGGCGACCAGGGTGGGCTGGAAAGTCTGAATTGCACATTGAGTGGAGCCAGGGGGCTTGGAAACTTAGGTTGCCGCCAATGACCTAGTCCCCCAGCCCTTCCTTGAGCTGATTGGATGGTGGGAGTAGCAGAAGGATGGTCACTTTGTATATTTCTCTTTTATTAGTGTAGATGTATTTGTTTATCAGCATTTGGGAGGTATAGTAATACTTATGACTAATTTGACATAATGCCACATGTCAGATAGGTTGTTGTTAGTTCAACTTTCAACTTTTTAAAGTATTACAAGATAGGTACTTCTCTTTCAAACTTTTAACATTGATTATCTCATTTCTGCATCTATATTTTATTTCTTAAAATTTATACATAATTTTGTCTTTTAATTATTATCACTTTTAAGAGCCAAACCCATTTTTTGTAGGAATTTTTCTTGAATCTTACCCAGGAGTCATATTCTCTATTTTTCTCTGTTATTCTAGTTTTGAAATCACCTTTTTCATTAAAATTTTTACATTTCTCTTTGCAAATTTTAATTCTTACAAAGCAACTGTGTTCATTTATCTGTAGGTTAGGAATTTTTATCAAATTAGTTTTAGACTAAATGATGACTTTTTTTTGAATACCTGTGCTTTCTTGCTAGTTGAATGGTTGGTATTATTTTATTTTATTGTTATAAATAACCTTGTTCCTTATTAGTTATTGGGTCTTTTTTTTCTTCTTTCAGCTGGTTGGTGGAGAATTTGACTTGGAGATGAATTTTATTATCCAGGATGCTGAGAGTATAACATGCATGACAGAGCTTTTGGAGCACTGTGATGTAACATGTCAAGCAGAAATATGGAGCATGTTTACAGCCATTTTACGAAAAAGTGTTCGGAATTTGCAGACTAGCACGGAAGTTGGGCTAATTGAACAAGTATTGCTGAAAATGAGTGCTGTAGATGACATGATAGCAGGTATGAGATTATCTGACAAGAAAATATAATTTAAATGTTTGTAAAGATTTATATTCTATAGGTAATATAAGTTTATTGAAGCTAACTTGATTTAAAATAGATAAATAGAAATGTATGAAAAATTTGCTTTTTGTATTAAGGTAAAATCTGGCAAATGTAGGATGACTTCTGTATAAGACAAACATAATTACTAATTTTGCTTCTTCAGGTTTTAGAAAATTTAAATAATATGAATAAATGCTATGAAATTTACCAGAAAACTAAGCAGTACTTTCTATGTAGTATTTAATTAAACTCTTACATAATTAAAAGATACAATACATATTATATTTCTGTATAATGGGCACTTTATCAAATTCTTGGAACTCTGTGTTCTTCAGTTTGATGTACATGGAACTATGATAGGAGGAACTAAAAATTTTAGGATAAACTTGTTTTTTGGAGGTGTTCATTTTAGTAGACAATTTTTGAAGAAATATTTGTAGAAAATAAACAGATATATTGAGGGATAGAATATAAAAGTTGAATGAAATTTCAAGGTAAGATATTAATTATTGTACTTTTATTATATGTTATGTTAAATAATAATTTTGAAGTCTTTATTCTTCACCACAAGTTTTTTACCTCCCTGCAAGTTCATTCCCCTTTGGTTTAGATGCACTGAAATATAAATAGTTGAAAAGTTAGTCCCAGAGTAACAGTCATTCCCAAAAAATAAGTGTAGAGTTTTAAGTGTTGATTCTCTGAAGCCATGGACCTTGAGCATAAGTTTCTTCTGACATGAAAGGGGTTTCATAATTTAAAAGTGGTAATATGACTCCATAATATCATATCTGATCCTTAAAAGTAGTTCAGACACTAGAGAATTCTCTATGCTATTTTGATCTATGCTTTAATTAATACTAGTAGAGCAAAACATTAATCAAAAGAGAGCAGAATGAAGAATAGGTTAAAGAAGAATGCTTTTAAAATTTAAACAGTATTTTAAAATTTTCGTCTTCAAGAATATATTAAAATCATTTTTAATTGTTTTCATGGTGGCATCTATTACTTATTTAGAATTATTTAGTATTCTCTATATTATTTACTAATTATTCATTTAAAGAAAAATTAGATTCTAACAAAACACCTTTTTAATGTAGATTCTATCGTTTAAAAATTTATTTTTATAAAGTTATATGTACATGTTTTATTGAAGATCATGTGATCTTTGAATACTTTATCTGGATTTAACCTGTTAATTTTTTTTCTCGGTAAATAATAAAGTTTCTTTATAGTATGCATTTTTCAAAATGTGCCACACTTACATACATAGTGGTTACAAGCATATAATTGATGAGCATTCAGATCAGTGTGATAGTACAGCAGAAAATTAATATCTTCACAATTTTTTGTTATATAAAGCTTCCTAATTCCTATAGTCTTTGCTTTAAATAATAATATGATAACAAATTTCACTTTTTATTGTATTAAACATTGAATAAGTGTGAGGAAAATACCTCTGAACCTTACTTTTCAGTAGAGAAATGAAAATTTAGGCAATATACTAATTCAGTAACCACCAAAAACTCTGACTATTTTGTAGCATAAGTTCAAAGACATACATTTTATTTAATAATGTGAAGGTATCACTAGAAGGTGGAATAAACTGATAGGAGAATTTCATAGTTTTGCTATTTTTTTCTCCCTTAAAAATTTTGTGTACAGAAAAGAAGACCTGTTACATAATTAAATTGAGCTACTTTGTGATAAAAAATTTTAGTAATTATGTAATTAAATCAAACTTAATAGATCACTTTTTATGGCATAAATAGGAGATGAGAGAAATGGAAATTACATATTTCAAATAAGTATTTGTAGGTGAATTTTTAAGAAATCTATGAAAATTGAAGCTGTCTTTTAAAACTGCTTTATATTAACTTAGAGGTTTAAGATGTTTAATTTTTATCCAGAATTCTTTCTTAGAAACATATCTTCTGACTAATATGTAGTAACTATGAACATTTTTGTTACTTGAAAGATGAAACATTTTATTAAAAGATTTCTCTCAAAAATGGCATATTCACTGTCACAATTTTATCACAGGGTTTGCTTACTTATTGTGGCAGTAAGTGAAAATTAGTCAATTATTTCTTGATGAAAACAACCAGTTAAATTTCTATTTTGAAATCATAATATTTTTAAAGTTTCAAATTCTGGTTATTAACCTATGATATTGGATAACATATTAAATATCAATAAATAATTATTTCAACTTATCTTAAAGTAATCTTTTTAAATTGATGGTTATTTTTTTAGAATATATATGGATATTGATTGTATTCAATTTATATAGTATCTTTAATTCTTAGGAAGTATGTTAGAAATCAAGAAAATGGAGTAAAAATATCTAGATGTTTTATTTCTTGCAAAAAAACCAATTGATGGAGGTATGACTCACAGTTTAGAAAAGGGAAAGTAATTAATTTGGGACAAGGAATTAAATGTATGTATTTTTTATTGTTGAGCTGGTATGTCTCTTATGGTTTTTATTTTTTATTTTTAAAAAATTTTTTTATTCTTATTTTTTAAAATATATTTTATTGATTTTTTACAGAGAGGAAGAGAGAGGGATAGAGAGCTAGAAACGTTGATGAGAGAGAAACATCAACCAGCTGCCTCTTGCGTACCCCCTACTGGGGATGTGCCCGCAACCCAGGTACATGCCCTTGACAGGAATCGAACCCGGGACCCTTCAGTCCCCAAGCCGATGCTCTATCCATTGAGCCAAACCCGTCCCGGCACATTACTCATTTTTAGAAGGGGGTAGTGGTACTTACCCCTTGGCTTGTTGTGAAGATTTGTGAAGTTAATACATGCAAATCACTTGGAATAATGCCAAGCAAGGTGTTAAGTACTCAGAATTGTTGTTAATGTGCCAAGGAATATTTCAAAAACATTTTCTAAAAGAAAATATTGTGAGCTATCACTTTTTCATTTGAAATAACCAGTTTAAAATGTTAAATCAATGTACCTTTGCATATTTTTGCCTACCTTCCCTGCAAACAGCAGGTTTGTGTGTGTATTCTGGAAACTTATAAAAGTCTATTTTATGTATTTACTAAGAAAACTTAATTAAATTGGTATACCTGATGTGGGAAAATTCTAAAACTTACATATAATTTTTTGTTTTTCTGATGACTTAAAATTAATTAGAATGACTATTCATGAGGATGTATTTTATATATATATATATATATATATATATATATATATATATGACACTTGATAACTTCTGTTCTTTTAAAAAGTATATTATCTTGATAGATGACAGCTCATGACTAGAGTTCAGAATAACTTTATTTTCCTTTGAAGATCTTCTAGTTGATATGTTGGGGGTTCTTGCCAGCTACAGCATCACTGTCAAGGAGTTGAAGCTTCTGTTCAGCATGCTTCGAGGAGAAAGTGGAATCTGGGTAAGCTGAAGTTAGAGTGAAAAGTATCCAATATCAGTTCATTAATATTTAATGTTCAATAATTTGTCTCTAGAGAGCTATGGTCTTGAATTTATAATGGAAATTCTTCCTCTTAAAGAGTTACATAAATGATTTAAAATTAATTTTCTCTCTAGTTAGAAAAATAGTTCAGTGGTTAATGTGATGTATTAGGTATTTTTACTAAATTTGTACAATGCCTTTATTTATTTATTTTTTTTGTTTCCTCAGCCAAGACATGCAGTAAAATTATTATCAGTTCTTAATCAGATGCCACAAAGACATGGTCCTGATACTTTTTTCAATTTCCCTGGTTGTAGTGCTGCGGTAAGTTTAAAATACACATGTTTACTTTTATTTACATATTTTTAAGGCATGATTTACATACAGTAAAATTTACTAATTTAAAAAGTTAGTTAAGTTTTGAATTGTTTGGTAATCACCACCACAATAATAATTTAGAACATTTCCATTACTCTCCAAATATCCTTGTTTATGTTTGAATCCAGTACTCACTTGCCAGCTCTGTTTCTGTTACCTCTTATTTATTTTTGTGGTTGTTTAACTTTGCCTTTTCTAGAATTTCATATAATTAAAATTACATATTTTGTAGTCTTTTTGTCAATCTTCTTTCATTTACCTTATGCTTTAGAGATCATTCTTGTTGTAGTTTAGTAATTTCCTTTTTATTCTGAATAGTTTTACATTTTATGTATATACCACAGCTTATTTATATATTCACTAGTTGATTGGTGTTTGGGTTTTCAGTTTTTGAACAGCAATGAACATTAGAACATAGGTTTGTGGAAATGCTTTCCTATCTCTTGAGTAAATGCATGAGAGCCTGATTGCTGGTTTTTATGTTTTGTTTGGTGTGTGTGTGTGTGTGTGTGTGTGTGTGTGTGTGTTTCATTTCATGAGAAACAGGCAAATTGCTTTTTATAGTTGAAATTTTTTCATTTCCATTTGGAATATATGAGAATCCTGGTAGATATGCATCCCGGTCATGGTCAGTCTTTTTAATTTGAGTCATTTCATTGATTATGTAGTGGTGCACCTCATTGCAGGTTTGTTTGGTTTTTTATAATTTTAATTATGTATTGTTCTCATGGCTAATGATGTTGAGCATTTTTTCATGTGTTGATTAGCCAGTCTTATGTCTTCTTATGTCTTCTTTTGTTCTGCTTGTGTTAAAATATTCTGTTTATTTTAAAAAATTGGTTGTCCTATCCTAAGGGTAAGATTCTAATGTATGTTTGGAGTATAAGTTAATTTGTCAGTTATGTATATGTCAAAGTTTCTATTAACCTGTGGCATATCTTTTTAATTTCATAACATTTTATACTATTCAAGATTTTAATTTTGCTTAATTAAATTATTTTATGGCATATGATTTTGTAATGTCAGAAAATAAGGTCATGACATTTTTTTCTCTTATTATTTCTACTAAGAGCTGTATTTTAGCTCTTACATTTAGGCTTATGATCACTTTTGTGCTAATTTTAAAAACATTGTGTGAGGGAAGGTTGAGATTAAGTTTAATTTGTATTGTATATTAATATTGAAATATTTCCTTGACTATTTGTTGAAGAAACAATTCTTTTTATCTTTACTTGCCATGGCATTTTTTTCAAAAACTATCCTAACACTCTCCATTTTGTTTTTTGTCCTATATAGCTATCTATATGCCAACATCACATTATCTTTATTGTTGTAGCTATATAGTAGTTCTTGAAATCAGTTAGCATAAGTACTGCAAATTTGTTCTTTATTTTAAATATAATTTTGGCTATTCAGTAGATTTTTTCGCATTTTTATATACATTATGAATAAAGTTATCAAATTTTATAAAAAGCCTGATGTTATTTTTATTGTGTTGTTTTAAAACTATAGAACAATTTGGAGATAATATATCTCTTAGAACTCTTGAGTCTTCCAGCTGACAAATACAGTATATATCTCTCCTTTTATTAGATTTCTTTGAGTTTTCAGCATTTTGTAGTTTTCAGCATACAAATCTTAAAAGTTTTTTGTTAAATTTATCCATATAATAGTAGATAGGACTTTTGGGTAGTAAATGGAAATGGTATAGATTATTTCAGAGAGGAAAAGTGGGAGAAAGAGACAAAAAAAAAATATGATGAGAGTGAATCATTGATTGGCTGCCTCATGCACACCCCACACTGGGAGTCAAGTCCACAACCTGGGAATGTGCCCTGACCAGGAATTGAACTGTGATGTCTTGGTTCACTGGTTGATGATCAACAACTGAGCCATGCCAAGCTGGGCTTGGGGTTTTGTTCTTTATTTGAAATTGTTTGTGCATCTGTGTATGTGTTTGTGTGTGTTTCTGTTTTATTTTTATTTTTATTTTTATTTTTTTTTATTTTTTTTTTTATTTTATTTTTTTTTAAAATATATTTTATTGATTTTTTACAGAGAGAAAGGGAGAGAGATACAGAGTTAGAAACATCAATGAGAGAGAGTCATCGATCAGCTGCCTCTTGCACACCCCCTACTGGGGATATGCCCGCAACCAAGGTATATGCCCTTGACTGGAATCGAACCCGGGACCCTTCAGTCCCCAAGCCGACGCTCTATCCATTGAGCCAAACCGGTCCTGGCTTATTTTTATTTTTAAAGCAAGCACTTATAAATCTCTTGTACATTGAGATTTTTCCATTGATCATATAGTGAATGTCTTCTATTTCTTATGTCACATGCTGGGAATCTAAATTATATTCCTTACTCTTGAGGAACTCTAGTGGGTAGATAGATGTAAAAACATCTTGTTAATTGTAAGCTACTGTAGATCTAGTTACTAAGTGCTGTTGTGTTGGAAGCCCATTGTCTTCACTAGCAGAGAGGTGTGGACAAGAAACTTGGAAGGCTAGTCAACCTTGAAGCTCTGATAGGTCAGAGCCAGCCACCCACTGTTTACTTGAGACAATGGTAGCTAAAGCAACTTCCACCTTTTAGTTGTTTGTAAATCCTTGCTGATTGGCTATTATTAGAATTGCCTGCCTCAGGGCTATGGGTGTATCCCACAATCTGAATAAAAGGGATAGCTAGGCCAGATCTGAGTGGAGTCCTCACCTTGAGTTGGGCTCCCACCTGGCCCCTAATATTACCAAATTAATATTTTATAGGCTCTTTTATTTACTTTCAGTCTCCTCCAGAGCCCAAACCCTGAACCTGTACCCTGAACCACGTGGGATGTGGGGGTGGCACTCTTAACTGGCAGCCCAATGTAGGGTACTTGCAAGTGGCAGCACAATGTGGGACACTCACAACTGGCGAGACATTGAGGGGACACTCACACTATGGGAAAAAAATGAAAAAGGAAGCTAAGCTAAGGTGAAGTCCAGGAAAGCTTCACAGAAAATCCTGGTGTTGAGGGATGCTTGTGAATTTGCTGGAAGAAGTCTTTTAGACAGAGGTTGTATCATATAGGGTGTATCATATACAAAAAGGGGAGTTGTAACAAAACAAGTGGAAGAGCTGTCATATTTAGCTACACTTTGGAATATGGAATAAGATAGTAGAAGTAAGATTGAAGGTTTTTTTTGTTTGTTTGTTTGTTTTTTAGCTTATATATCCTGAAGAAATTTAAGCTTTATTCTGTATGCAGAAGATTTTTAATATGGAAGCTATCTTATATTTGAGAGAAGGGTCATATCCACTCAGCAATATGAAGGATCTGTTTGGGGGAACAGAGCAGTCATAAAAGCATAATAGATAATTATCTTTTAGGTGATAGGAATTTGGATATCTCATAGGAAGATAAATAAATCCTCAGGTGTTTGTTCACATCAATTAAAGGAATCAACCACTTTCTCAATTTTTCCTTAGATTGGCTATATTTTTAAAATTACTATTATCAACTGAATGCTAAATTATTCCTTTCCTACTTAATGAGTGGGTTTTAGTCCTTTTCAGTCATAAATTTTATCGGTAAAGTTTCTTTTTTTTTTTTTTTTTTAAATATATTTTATTGATTTTGTACAGAGAGGAAGGGAGAGAGATAGAGAGTCAGAAACATCGATGAGAGAGAGTCATCGATCAGCTGCCTCTTGCACACCCCCTACCGGGGATATGCCTGCAACCAGGGTACATACCCTTGACCGGAATCGAACCCGGGACCTTTCAGTCCCCAAGCCGATGCTCTATCCATTGAGCCAAACCGGACCCGGCGGTAAAGTTTCTTAATGATCTTATGATTTCCCTTCCTTTGTTTCACTAGTAATGAACATTAATTACCTTATGATACTTAAATTTCTTCAATATTGATCCCATTAACATCCTCTCACAGAGTTGTTTTTGGATTCAAAGATTCAATCAGCCTTCTTTAACCAAAAGAAATATTACTGAAAACCTAACAGATACCACAGAAAACTGAAAATTCTTAAGCATAGTAATGAGGGACTGTATATTGGTGAAACTGGAGGAGAACTTCTTGGAGTCTGAAACTTATTATGTAACTTGGAGATGAAACTTCATTCAGCTAATATTTGAAAATATAATGCTTCTGTAGCCAATAAATAATATTTATAGACTAGAGGCCCAGTGCATGAAATTTGTGCACTTGGGGAGGGGGTCCTTCACCCCAGCCTGTGCCTTCTTGCAGTCCAGAAGCTCTGCAATTGATTGCCCAACAAAAGGAGGCACTGCCCACTGCTGCAGGCCGGGTAGCCTGGGCCTCCCTCTGCAGGGCGATCTTGGGGATATCCCAAGACCAATTGCATCACACCTACTTTGATGATGGCAGTCAGTGCTGGGTTGCTGTGGTGCTCATAACCCAGGAGGGACTGAGAGGTCAGCAGTTCAGCCCACTTGCCAGGCCATGCCCACTTGAGCCTGCTGCACGTGTAACCTGGTATTTGGTCGCCTGTTAGGTTGTTTTGGACATTACGGACCCTGGCTCTTTATATTTTAGGATTATTTTCATAAGATATTATTTTACATTTTTATATTTACCATGATTTTCTGATATTTATTCCTCCACCATTTTTTAATCTGTAAAATTCATATCTGACCTTGGTTGCTGTCACATTTTCTTTTACTAATACTTTTGTATCTTTTTTTCATTGCCCTATAGGCAATTGCATTGCCTCCTATTGCAAAGTGGCCTTATCAGAATGGCTTCACCCTGAACACTTGGTTTCGTATGGATCCATTAAATAACATTAATGTTGATAAGGATAAACCTTATCTTTATTGGTAAGATATTTAATTTCAATATGTTTGTCTTAAGTATTTCAATTTTGTAAATAAAGTAAATTTAACATTAATATTTTAAAGTATATGTTAAAATGATAGACACAGTTAAGTCAATTCATTATATATTTTAAAAAATTTTGCTGTTGTCTCCATATTTTTTTACAGTTACAGCCCCCCCCCCCCTTTACATTTAAGGGTCAAGGGTTGCAGACTTTCTTTGTACTGTCTTACCAATATAGATCAATTGTGGGTTTCTTAGTGAAGATGTGGATTTCTGATAAAGGAGAAGGAAAAAACCCAAAACTCCTACTTTTTTTCATTCACTTTGCCTTTTTACTTATTTTGTTCCGTGAGTATAATCAGGATATGTTTTAAAATATTAATAACAACCCTATAAGAAATTATAATTAGTTAAGAATAATTATTTGGTAGGTGTGTAACAGAATGAGTTGCTCAACCCAGAGATGGATTGACCTGACAGGACTGAGAGCTTGGTAATTTTAGTTTACCAGTAATGCACAGATATACTATGAAACTTTAATTGATTGCCTTACTACATAGTAGGTATTGTAATTGCTTACAAATATTAACTCATTTAATACGAACAAGCTCTGAAATAAGACAGTCCTATCTTTGGCTTTTACTTTATTCTTTGCTTTGGTGTCTTTAACTGTAAAATAAAGATGTTAATAGTATCTATCACAGGTTTTATATGAAAGAATAATATATAAGTTGCTTTTTCTGCAATGATTGGCTCTGAAATGTGAGTGTGAAATTGTGGTCTATTGATAGCTTGTAATTGCTTATTATAAAAATTTAAACAAATACCTGAATTTCCAAATATAAATTGGATTGAACTTCAGAATAGTCATTTTAGGAGAGCATTAATTTATTTAAGTAATTCTATCATTTTCAAAATCTATATAAATTTTTTATATGGGGTTTGAATTTATAACTAGGAAGAATTACCCCTAGTTGTAGAAGAAAATTACTATATTTCCTAGTCACATAGCCAGAGGGACAGGGGGAGGGAGGGGTGTGGCGGGGAACTGGATGAAGTTGGGCAGAGTGGGAATTGGACGATATCTGTAATAATGTGAACAATAAATATAAAATAAAGTATTTACTCTAAAAATGTTATATATTATACTTATAAGAAAAATGAAAACGTATTCCTTGCTTGATTACCTACATTATTTTTCAAAGTTGACTGTGACATTTAAAAAAAATTTGTATGTTTTTAAAAAACATTTATCTTTATTGTTGAAAGTATTATAGATGTCCCTCTTTATTCTCCTTTGATGCCCTCTACCCTATTCCCATAAGATAACAGTAAAATTACGGAACAAGTCGTTTTTGAAACATTAACTGTATGAGTGATTTAAAAAATTTGCTAATTCCAGATAGTTCTTAAATGTAGATATAATTAACTTGATAGGCTTTTGTAGGCCATTACTTTAATTTTATGTATTAAAATTGAAATGTTAAATGGTTCTTTTGTCTTCCATTTTTCTAATTTAAATTATTTCTTTTAGTTTTCTAAGCCTTTTATGTTTTAGCCTTTATTTGGTACATAAATTTTATTTTTATAATAATATTTTGTGTTATTCATATAATAAACTTTAGATACATTGTTCTTTGTATCAGAGGATATACTATTCTTAATTTTCTTTATAGTTTTCGTACTAGCAAAGGAGTTGGCTACTCTGCTCATTTTGTTGGGAACTGTCTAATAGTCACATCACTGAAGTCCAAAGGAAAAGGTTTTCAGCACTGTGTGAAATATGATTTTCAACCACGCAAGGTAGGTGTAAGTAAATATGTCTATAGAGAATGCCACAATGCATCATTCCTGCTGTTTTAAAACTCACCTGTTATGATTTCTGTAATATTCTTTTAATGGTTTTCTCATGATTTCTAATTCTTTCCTTTGATCCTTGTCTGAATTCTCTTGCTACTTTTATGTCTAACTTTTGATATAAAACATTAGGCTCTTGACCTTTTGTAGTCTCTCTCTCTCTCTTTCTCTCTCTCACTGTAATATATTCTCTTACATTCTTTCAGATAATACTTATAGAAGTGTGATATTCCCTGCAATTTTGCCTGCCATGGTTTTAGTTACCTCCAGGCAACTGTGATCTAAAAATATTGAATGGAAAATTCCAGAAATAATACATAAGTTTTAAATTGGGCACCATTCTGAGTAGTGTGATCAAATCTGTGCTTTCCTTCTCCACCTTACCCGGTATCTGTATGTATAAGCTATTCTCTATTCCCCTCTAGTTACTCACTTACTCACTAGCCATCTTAGTTATTTGATTGGTTATCAGGTAGAGACCACATTTATATAACTTTTATTAGAGTATATTGCTATTATCTCTCTCTTTTATTATTAGGTACGTTAATCTCTTACTGTGTTTAATTTATAAATGAGCTTTTATTATAGGTATATATGTATTGGAAAAAATATAGTATATATAGGGTTCCATACTATCCGAGGTTTCAGGAATTTACTCGGAGTCTTGAACATAACCCTCTCAGACAAGGGAAAATAATCTATTTTGGTCAATTTGCATATTAGGTTATTTAATTGAGTACCAGACACTGTGTATGCACTGGGGAATATGACAGTGAACAAAACAGATAATACCCTTGTTTTTCTCGAGTTTACAAATTTGGGGGAATTTTTACTCAGTTTCATGATAGCTCTCCACTTTTATTTTTACCTCCCCAATTCGATTCTTGTATCCACCTATAAGATTTACCATGTGTATATCTTTATGATTGTTCAATCTCAGATATGTAATATTGAATTTACTATTTCCAGTGTCATGTTCATTCTTGTTCCTAAGTCCCATTTTGATTTTTTTTAATAGTATTAACTTTTTATTGCCTCATTTTCTCTACAAGGAAAAACTAGTGCTTTCTAAATTTGGAAGGCCAATGAAATATTTTTTATTATATTTTTTATAGTTGACTAGAGGCCTAGTGCATGACATTGTGCATTTGGTGGGGAAGGGTGTCTCTCAGCCAGGCCTGCACCCTCTTGCAGTCCGGGGCTCTCAGGGGATGTTCAACTGCTAGCTTAAGTCTGCCACTGCTGCACTAGCCATGAGCCTGGCTTCTAGATGAGTAGTGCTTCCTCTCTGGGAGCCCACTGAATACCAGGGAGCAGCTCTTGTATTGAGTGTCTGTCCCCTCGTGGTCAGTGTGTGTGATAGTGACTGGTCGTTCCGCCATTTGGTCATTTTGCATATTAGGGTTTTATTATATAGGACTAAGGTCTGATGCATGAAATTTGTGTACTTGGGGTGTTGGGGGGAAAGAGATTCCCTCAGCCTAGTCTGTGTCCTTTTGCAGTCTGGGAGCTCTGCTATCAAATGCCCCATCTGCCAGTGGCCTGGGTCTCCCTCTGCAGGGCGATCATGGGGCGATGGCTGGGCCCCTGACAAATTGTATCATACCTGCCTTGACTGGCCTGGCACCAGTGGGTGTCATAGCTTGGTTGTCTAGATTATCATTCCGCTGTTCGGATGTTTGGTCGATTTGCATATTATGCTTTTTCTAATTATTATATATATTTTCCATTTTACACCCCTTGTTCTCCCTCTTCACAGATCCTACCCACCCACCTCCAGGTCTTCACTAAGCTATTGCCAGTGTTATGGCCTAAGCATATCCTATATAATAAACAGCTAATATGCAAGTGGTCATCATGCCCTCATGCCATCACATGGTAACAGCTCACAAACTCAACACCAGGGAGAGAGGAATGGGGACGAGCTAGGCACAAATGAACTCGTGAGGGAGGAATTAGCACCAGCCAGGATGCAGCATGGGAGAAGGACAAGCCACCCACCCTGCAGTCCTGGGTGCCAGTGGTTCGCCTGTGCCTTTGGCCCAGGAGAGGGACACCTGCACGCCCTTGGTCCCAGGCATCAGTGGCTGGGGCTGCTGTCAGGGGAGGGAAAGCAGTCTACCCTGCGGTTCCGAGTGCTAGTGGCTGAGGCTGTGTCCCAGAGAGACACTAGCAGCCCGCCCTGTGGTCCTGGCCACCAACACCTGCTGCCCAGGAGGGACAAGCCACACTCCCTGTGGACCCGGGTGTCTGTGGCTGTGGCATGGGCCATGCTACCTGCCCATGGTCCTCTGCGGCTACTGCTCGCCTGTGTCCTGGCTGCCTGAGGCAGCCAGAGGGAGGGATGCCCGGGTTCCAGGTGCCTGCGACTGGCTGGAGGAGGGAATCCTGGGTCCTGGATGCAGGGTGAGGCAGAGGAGGTTAGGGAAAATCAGACCAGCAGGGAAGCACTTAGAGGTGATCAGGCAGGAAGGCAGGCAGAGGTGGTTTGAGGTGATCAGGCAGGCAGGCAGGCGAGTGGTTTGGAGCCAGTGATCCCAGATTGCAAGAGGCAGTCGGACTTCCCCTGAGGGGTTCTGGATTGGAGAGGGCACAGGTCGGGCTGAGGGATGCCCCCCTTCCATGCATGGATTTCATGCACCAGGCTTCTAGTAAGTATATAAGTTCTTTGCTTTATCTCTTTTTGTTCTCCCAATCCCACTTGGATTTATGTCAGTCTCTTCCATGCCTCCCTGCTTCAGGTCTTGTTTTCTTGGTCACTTCATTTTGTTCATTAGATTCTACATATAAGTGAGATGATGTGATATATGTCTTTCTCAGTTTGGCTTATTTCACTTAGTATAATATTTTCAGGTCCATCTATGCTGTCACAAAGGTATGAGATTCCTCTTTTTTACTGTTGCATACTATACCATTATGTATATGTGCCACAGCTTTTTTATCCATCTAGTGATAAGCACTTGGGCTGTTTCTAACTTTTAGCTATGGTAAATAATCCTGCTATGGACATATTTCTGATTGGTATTTTGGGGTTTTTAGCATATATCCTAAAGTGGGATCACTGGGTCAAATGAAAGTTCCATATTTTATTGTTTGAGGAAACTTCACATTGTTTTCCATAGTAGCTGCACCAGTCTGCCTTCTAACTAGCAGTAAACTAGTGTTCTCTTTTCTCCACATCCTTCCCAGCACTTGTTGTTTGTTGATTTTTGATGATATAGCCATTCTGACAGATGTGAGGTCATTATCTAACGTGGATTTAATTTTCATCTCTCTGATGATTAGTGACTTTGAACATATTTTAATGTTTCTTGGCCATTTGCATATCCTCTTTGGAGAAATATCTGTTCAGGTTTTCTGTCCATATTTTAATTGGATTGTTTGTCTTTTGTTGAGTTGTATGAGTACTTTAGATATTTTGGATATTAACCCATTATCAGATATATCATTGGCAAATGTGTTTTCTCACACAATGGGTTTCCTTTTTCTTGTTAATGGTGGTTTCTTTTGCAGTGCAGAAGCTTTTCATTTTGATGTAGTCCCATTTGTTTATTTTCTCCTTAATTTCCTTTGCCTAGCAGATATATCTATAAACATATTGTTGCATGAGATATCTGAAATTTTACTGCCTATGTTGTCCTGCTCTCTAAGTCATTTATAGTTTCACTAGAGGCCCAGTGCATAACAATTCATGCATTGGAGGAGGATGAAGTCCCCTAGTCCCTCAGCCTGGCCTGCCTCCTCTCACAATTTGGGAGCCTTCAGTGGCAGGAGGCGACCTGGCAATCGGGAAGATGATGTCCCACAACACCTCTGCTGCTGCTACTGCCAACAACACAAGCCTTGGCCGGCCCTGGTTATCTGAGCCTTGGGCAACCTTGGGTGGCTGGGCAGCCACCATTTGAGGCTTTCCTGCATCTCAGGCCTGCTCTGGGCAGCTAGGGGGCTGAGGAGACTGGGGGACTATGGAGGCAGGTGTACGGAGTTGCTGGGCCCACCTGGGGGCGGTCAGGCTTTGCTGCCCACCTGCCACCCCAGCAGGGCTGAGGGACTAGGCACTGCTATCTTATGGCTGTGGGCACAGCCATCTTTGAGGGTGGGGAAGTCAATTAGCATATTGCCTCCTTATTGGCTGTAGGCACCTACATCTTTGCTATGGCATGAGGTTCAATTAGCATATTCCCTCTTTATTAGATAAGATGTCTTATATTTAAGTCTTTTATCCATCTGGAGTTTATTCTTGTGTATGGTGTAAATTTGTGATCTAGTTTTCTTTTTCTATTTCTTTTTTTTTTAAATCAATCTTTATTGTTCATATTATTACAAAGGCTCCTCATTTCTTCCCCCTTCCACCAGGTTCCCACCCCACACTCCGCTCCCTCCACACTCCCCATTGTCCTCATCCATAGGTGCAGAGTTTATGTTCAGTCTCTTCCTCCCTCCCTTTCCCTGAGAACAGTCAGTCCACTCCCCTCCCATAAATGGACACATTGTTTAAACATAGCTGCTGGTTGGAATTGCATTACCTGGTCTGGGTGGGAAGGGCTTGTCATTCCCTTTAAAATTAAGGTGTTAGCTTTAAAACCTCTTTTTGGCAAGAGACCTTAAACTTTCAGAACTTTAAATTTTTCAGATAGTAAATCAGTTACTTAGCATTTTCTCAAATCAATAATACCTCCACATGCCCAAGGATACACTTCTAGTTTTATTTTTTTCATGTGTCTGTCCAGTATTCTCAGCACCATTTGTTGAAGAGACTGACTTTTACTGCATTGTATGTTCTTGTCTCCATTGTCAAATATTAATTGACCGTAATGGTGTGGGTCAATTTCTTCGGTTTTTGTTCTGATCCATTGGCCTATATGCCTCCCCTTATACAAGTATAAGGCTGTTTCGATTATAATGGCTTTGTAATGTAGTTTGATATCTGGTATTGTGATCCCTTC